GGAGGAGGGGATCTGGAGCCAGGGAGGTCCAGGAGGGCAGCCAAGGGAGGTGCCTTCCAAGTCCTGAATAGGAAGGAGCCAGTCTTTGGGACAGCCCCGGGGGAATGGTGCAGGCAGAGGGTGCAGAGGCCCGGGGTGGCAGCGAGAAAGCTGGGGAGGCAGAGCATTTGGAGTCTCTTCTGATGGCGGAAGGGTTCTGAGCAGGGAATGACGTGATGAGAATTTTTAAAAGAGAAGTTCTCAGGAAACATTCGCAGAGCGAGCGCAGGAACAAACAAGCGTACTCAGGGGAGGGCCGGGGCCACGGCCTGGCTGGCTTATTCACGGGCTGTGTGCTCAGGGGGTGAAAGGCCCACACCTGGCCTGGGGTGGGGCAGCAGACAAGGTTTTGAGGTCACCACTCCTCTCAGTCCCTTTGAGCTGGGGCTGCCTGTGCCTCAGTTTCCTCATTAGTCCTGGGACCACTGGTTTCCCCCTGGACTCATGGGTGTCTCGTGGGCTCCCCAGCTGGCTTTGGCCCCTGGGCCCCCCCAGATTGTGGTGCCATTGTTTGATTTTCCACTTCCTGCCCCCGAACCACCCCCACCCCCAAACACACACACTTCCCCTTCCGAATTGGTGCTGACTTGCCTTCCTGTCCAGAAGCCCGTGGGAAGGCAGGCACCCACAGGCGCCGTGCGCAGAGGTGCAGGGAGAGGGAGGCAGGGGCCCGGGGCGGGTAGGTGTTCTGCAGAAGAAAGAGAACGTGGAGGTTGGGACGGGTGGAGACAGGCTCACCCAGCTGCAGCGGGCAGGGTCTCCAGGGGTCACAGGGGTCCCCTGTCCCGTCTGGAGGCCTGAAGGAGGACAGCTGGTTGTGGGAGCTGATGGTGGCAGGGGAGAGGCCAGGGTGGCCTGTGCCGTCGGGCACAGAGGGGCAGGGCCGTGGTCGAGTGCGCAGCCTTTGGGGGCCCCGGCTAGCGGGTGCCGTGCCCCAGAAGCCGGGCCGCGCTGCAGCCAGTGCTGTGGAGGAAAGGAGCCCTCCCTGGAATTCCGGGTCAGGAAGCCTTCCCTGCTGGAGCTGGCGTAACTGTGTCAGAGTTCCCTTCTCTACCCGCCCGCTGGTGACATTTGGGGCCAGGCCGCTCCGTGTGGTGGGGGCTGTCCTGTGCATTATGGGATGTTTAGCAACCTCCCTGGCCTCTCCCTGCTAGATGCCAGTAGTACCACCTCCTCCCAGTTGTGACAAGCAAAAGTGGCTCCAGACATGGCCACATGTCCCCGGGGTGGGGGCACAGTCACCCTCAGTTGAGAACCACTGAATAAGGGTAAGTGGGCAGAGCATTCTGGCCTAGGCAACGGCCTGGTGGCAGGAGAGTGTATGGAGGTCATTGTGGCTGGGGACCCGTTGTGTTGGGTCCTGTAGGTCACTATGAGGACTTGGAAGGGGCCCCGGTTTCAGTGGCCCACGCAGGTGGACAGGGAGCCCATGGAGAGGGCTGGCAGTGGCCTGGCCCCTGGAGGTGGTGAGAAGGCATCGGTTTTGAGGGATGTTGTCCCGCTTGCCCAGGGCCCCCTGCAGGGTCTGTGGTTTGCTCAGGGCCTGGTCCCCGGACAAACTCTGGGGGTGTTGACTTAGCTGCCTTTGACCCTCAGGCAAACCTGGTCTCTGGAGAGACCCCTTGCTTGACCAGGGAAGAATCATCCCTAATTGAGGCTGTTACTGCTCAAGGCTGCCGCAGGTTCAGTTGTGTTTGGAGGGAAAACCTCCTTTCCATGCTGTACCTGTGCTGGTGTCAGTCTGATTAAAAACAACAGCAGACGAATTCAGACATCTCGTTCTTCCCGAGTGCCAAGCACGTGCACAGCCTGTGCAGAACGTGTCGTGGGCCTGTCCTTGTCCTCCGCCACCTGGGTGCGAGTTACCGTGATTTGCTCAGTTTATGGCGAGGCAGGGGAAGTAGAAAAGTCAGGGTCTAGGGACCCGGGGGAGCCTGCTAGCTTCGGTGGGTGAACCCAGCGCAAAGCCCTGACCTCAGCGGGTGGTCGCTGGCTGGCCTTGGGGGATGGCCTGGAGGAGGCCCTTGAGGCTTAGAGGGAGCCTGGAGTCCGGGGCTCTCAGACCTGGCGTGTGCCCTGGCGGTCCCTTCCACAGGTGAGGCTCCCGAGGCGCGCCGGGTGGAGAGGGTTGCCTGAGGACGGCGGGGAGGCGGTCCCAGGCCCCAGTTTTGGTGTCACTCCCTCGGCATGCTGAGCACTGGTGGCTCCTCTCTGCCTTTGCAGCCTGAGCAGTGGCTGTCCCCTGCCAGGAACACTCTTCCCCATCAGAGTCGCCTCCCTGCCCCTCAGCTGCCTGCCCAGTTAGCATCGTGGCATCCAGCGTTCGGAGCATTGACCTGTTTGCGGTCTGGGTCCTGCGCTGGGCGCTGAGCCCCGTGGCAGGAGCCGTCTGCCCACTCTCCCGTGCTGCCCCCAGCGCGCCCACCTTCCCAGACGCGTCTCCCTTTTGCCTGGCCTCCGTCTGAGCCACACAAGGGACTCTGCCACCCAGCCCCCACTTGGGCGGGGTATTGTGTACCAGGGGTCTTCCCAGGCCAGCTGCAGTGCCCCCGTGGCAAAGGCTGTTGTCCGCTCACCCTCTCACAGGTGTCCTGGAAGGACTAGGCTGTTCTGTGTATGTTGCCTGTTCGAGACAGGGACTGATGTCATTTCTCTGCTTCCATGTCCCTCATCTCTGGCCATTATGAAGCCACTGGCTCTTTAAAGTCCCCAAGTGGTTACCGAACACCAAGTGGTGCTGGGCTTCCAGAAGGCGCACCTTAAACAGAAGAGACAGAACGGTGTCCAACCTTCTGTCGGCCTCTGCCGCAGCTGTCGCAGTGTCCCGTCCCAGCCCCCACCCCCCGCCAGCGCCTTGAGCTCCGCGGCTGAACAAGGTGACTCGCCGCCTGCCTGGTGGTGAGAGCTGCCGGCCTGCTCTCGCCAGGATGAGGGCCGGCTTAAGGACTATTAAAAACAGACCCCATGGAAGTGCCAGCCTCAGCTCAGGAGCCGTCCCCAGCTGACCTCAGCTTGCTTTGTCTTTCAGGACTCTCGCGTCCTACCCGAGTTCCAGCCTCACTGAGCCAGCCGTCCCCAAGCGCTTCCTGCCGAGGAAGCCCCCCAGCACTGACCATGTCTATTATGGACCACAGCCCCACCACGGGCGTGGTCACGGTCATTGTCATCCTCATTGCCATCGCTGCCCTGGGGGCCTTGATCCTGGGCTGCTGGTGCTACCTGCGGCTGCAGCGCATCAGCCAGTCGGAGGACGAGGAGAGCATCGTGGGGGATGGCGAGACCAAGGAGCCCTTCCTGCTGGTGCAGTACTCGGCCAGGGGACCGTGCGTGGAAAGGAAGGCCAAGCTGATGACTCCCAACGGCCCGGAAGTCCACGGCTGACCCAGGATGCGCGGCTCCGGGTCCCGTTTGCAGCCAGCTGGGAGGCGCAAGGCCGCACAGACACGCTGCTGTCTGGGAGGAGGGGTTGACACTTGCTGGCATGGCCTCAGCGGGCTTCGTCACCGCATGCACTGACTCCCGGGGGCCCAGCTGCCCTGGGCTTCCCCCCGGCCTCCTGGTGGGGCTGCCCATTGCGGGCAGTGGGCAGGCCCGACCTTGCCGGGGCTCGCGGCCCTGTAGCGCTTTCGTTACTTGAATGTTTAGCTGAGCCTGTTTTTGACGGAGCTACTACTGTAACGCGTGAACTAACAAACCTGTGAACTGTAAATAGGCCCCCAGAAGCACGTGCTTAAGCCCTTCTGCTGATTTTTAAAAACATCATCTAGAGCACACGGGACTGGGTTGATTGCAGCTGTACTAGTGATGAGCTGCGGCGAGGCCGCGGAGGGTCCCAGACTTGTAAGGCCCGGGCTGCGCTCGGCGGGGGTCTCTCATGTGTATCTGTGTGTGTATGTGAAGGGGGTGAGATGTCAGTTTGGGGTCTTGTGGCTGACCAGTTGGGGTGCTTGGGTGATTTCCGCTTGGTTAGTAATGGATGGAACCACCACAGCCCTTCGTTTTTCTCCAGGTAGACTCAGTCGTTAGTAGCAGTTCCTGTTGATAGTAGAGTTACTGCAAGGAAGCTACCGTCCCTGCCTGGGAGCCAGTGAAGGACGAGTCCGGGCACGCGTCCCGAGGGCTGCCAGGTGTCCTCGTAGCAGAGCGGTTTCCTGCCCCTGGGTCTGAAGCGTGCTGAGCACCCCCCCTTGGCGCGGGCTTTGCTGTACTCGCCCTGATCCTCGGAAACACCCCAGCCCACGGTGGCTGCTTTCAGTCTGAAACCCAGTTTGCCCAAGAAAGAGAAAAATTGTTTTTTGTTTTGTTTCTGGGTTTAATATTTTCTGCACTGGAGGGGGAGGAGGAAGGGACGTTGAGGTTTTTTGGGTTCCCCCCTTCCCTTTTCACAAGTTGGCTTCCTTTCCTCTCTGATGACCACCCACCTGGTGGGTGTTGGATTTCACTTTCCTCTGCGGGTCTGGAGATTGTGTCTCGAGTCCCCTGACCCGGCTCTAAGGGCACCGCGTGCCAGTGGAAGGCCATTTCTCGTGTGCACGTTCACACGGGAGCCCCCAGACCGCTCCCTGCCAGCCCGTGCCTAGTGCAGGGGCCGGGGGTGGAGCTCCAGTTCAGGACTAGGTTCTTGAACAGATGACGAGTTGGCGGCTCTCATTCAAGCCAGGGCCTCAGCAGCCTGCATCTCCAAGGTGTCATTTCAGTGAACTTGCTTAGATTTTTAATCTCACCACTGTAAGCACACTCTAAACTATTATGATTAAAACGTGATTTGTGTTGGCATCCTCGGTGATAAACCAGAGGCCAGTCCCGGCTCTAACCATGGAGTGCAGGCCCTTAGCACTTGAGCTTAGAGCACTCCTCTGGCCTCATCCAAGCCGCCTCTAAAAAGCATGTTGAACTAATCCCCTTTCTAGAACCCTAAGGGGGAGCCGTAGCAAACACCTCTTTTTAGCAGCATACACCTAAACTGGGGTCAAACATAAGTAATGGCTGGGGAGAGGGATAGCTCACTGGGCCATTAGGGCTGAGGGCAGTGACGACACAGCAGGTGGGCTCTTGAGAAACCCTTAGGAAGCAGGAGAGGAAACACCTTTGGCCACTAACGGGTTGACCAAGCTTGGGAAGAGGTGGCCATGGGACAGGTGCGATGTCAGCAGAGGCCCTGCAGGTGGAGTGGGCAGGACACGTGGCGGGATGGGGAGGGGCGATCCAGCCACTGAAGCCGGGCCTAGGAGGGAGAACAAGTTCCAAAGGTGCCAACTGGAAGATCAGGGAGGAGGTTTGCTCTGGTGAGTTAGCAAAGGCCGGCGTGTTTGACCCGTCCCCTCGCATTTCAGAACCAGGCTTTCTACCTCTACTCTCACCGAAGCCAGCAGCATAAACCTAGGCTGTTTTTCCTTCAGCTCCACACCTGAGTAACCCGGGAGCAGCTGGGATTTGCATTTTCAGCCCCTGAGCCTGACCCCTGTGGCACTGACCAATGCTTGATTGTCAGCACTCACCTGTGGTTCTTAACGTGCCAGTGAAGTTTTGGTTTTGAAATGATTAAACACTGCTTTCTCTTCACTTTCACTTGAGGTTTTCTTATCCCACTCCTGGTTGCCAGGGGCATCCCTGGAGCTTGACTCGGGCCCAGCAGAGCGTGGTGGGTGAGGGCGAGTGGCTGGGTGGGCGGTGGTGGTGGGGTCTTTGGGAGGAATATGGAAACGCCCGTAGAACTAGTGAACAGCCACATAATCTCTCTGGCTGTTCTTATTTATCAGTAGCTACTTTTTTTAGTGTAGACACCAGAGCCACACACTCAATGGCTTAGTAAGTTATGACCTCCCTCTGAATTCTTTCTGAATAGCCCAACTGTTGCGTTCAAGTTTTCTGACTCATCAAGACATTAGGCTTTCACTCTTCATATCATCGCAGAAGCAACAGTAGGGGAATGAGGAGGGAACTCTGGACACTGAGCCGCTAAAACATGGACTAATTTCTCAGACAAATCCTCAAACGGACCGTGCTGTTTCTGTCTCAAAGCTACCAAGTTTGTGCAATAAGTGGAAGGGATGTCATCCCTCTTCAACAAATGCTGAATGACATTCAAGCTGATTTTCTAGACCACTGAGAAAATCTTTATTTACAATAAATTTCAATAAAATTTGCATAAATATATTCCCAATGTACAGTTTTCATCTCTGATTTCTTCATGTCATTTTGAGAGTTAGTCTGTCCTGTTGTCACTCCTTTCGGACGCCAGCGTGGAGCTGACGTTGGAAGGTGGTGGGGTGCTGCCAGGTAAGGGGGGGGTGCCTGAGGGCTCGGGGTGCTCAGGGTGTGCCTTTCTCGGGGGAGCCGGGTTTTCAGCTCCTTCCTTGCCCTCCAGTTTCCTCTCCATGGTCGCCACCAGGATCTTGAGCCAGGTGTTCTCCGTGAGGAGGTTTTCGGAGGCGTCGGCCAGCTCCTGCAGCTTCCGGGCCAGCGCCTCGAGCTCACGGGTCTTCTGTTCGTGCAGCGCCTGCAGCTGCTCGCTGTGCTGCTGGAGCAGGCGGTGCTGCTCCTCCAGGGCCTGCTGCTGTCGCCGCAGCCGGTGTTCGTCCCTGCGGGCGCTGGACAGCCGCAACTCCACCTGCCCTTGCGCGTGCTGGAGGCTGCTTATTTCTGCTCTCAACTTCTGGATCTCTCTCTCCAAGTGGGAGACGTGCCCTTGCTGTAGGACCGCCTCGCTCCGAAGACATTCTTTGGTAGGAGGGTCAGCCATGTTCCGGGGCGACACGGAGTTTGAGTGATGGAGAATGAACCTCAGCAGGTTTGGAAGGGTGACGGGGAGGTCTTCGGGGTACTTGACACTGAGGTCCTTTCTGGAGAGGAAGGGAAAGGATCAAAGGTGAGAGTCATGCCAACACACCTAGTCCAAAACCAGACCCGGCCATCTACTTCTTACCAAGAAAAGGCACTCCGAGGATTTTGCTCAAAGTCAGTAAGGAAAATGTTGCCTGGGCGAGAAATTCTCTACAAAGCAAGGATGCCCTATATGCTTGTTCTGTGAGGCCAGAGCTCAGTTTCTATATAGTACCCTCTAAGAAAAACAAGAGCTCCCAGGCCCAAGCCTAAAGCCAGTGACACAGGGCACTAAGACCCAGTGGCCATGTCGGGCCTGGGGCGGGACTGTTGCCTGTATCATTCCTGTACCCATCGACGACGGTGCCCGTGAAACAGGAAAAACCTGCAAGGCGCAGCCTGTTTCTGCAGCAGTCATTTATCACACTTTATCTGAGGCAGGGGTTCTCGGCCAAGGGTGCTCCTGGCAAACAGACCGCCCAAGGCACTCTGATGAAGTAAGGCTGCCCGACCCTGAGAGTACAGAGTAAGGAAGGAGGGTGGCAAAGGAAAAGGCTCTCCTCCACAGCTCTGTTCCAGGTTCTGATTTAGAAAATTCCTGTTTAGAACTTGTCATTTAATTGTCTGACAACCAAAGTTTCTCTCTCAGATCTATTTACTCGTGCACGCACGGTCTGGCTGCATTAATCAAAACTGCCGGGTCATGCATTTATGCATGAGATGCACCAACAGACGGTGGCGTCTCCCTCAAGTATTAGAGGAGCGGAGGGGAGAGCAGGACTCGGGGCCCAGCTGCCGCAGCAGAGTCGCAGGGCTCTGCTCACTGTCATGTGCTCTTCTTAGACGAGCAACTTCTCTGTGCTTCTGAACTACTTCCTCTGTGAAATGGGGACAAGAAGAGTGTCACCTACCTCATGGGACTGTTGTACAGGATTAAGTGAGCTAAGTGAATAATCGGTAAATGTCAGCTTTGTAAAAAATTGCATTGTTCCTTAAGAAACAAACAGGAAATTACTAATTAAAAGCTCCGCACACAAAGCCAGTGGCCAAATACCTAAAGTGACAAAAGGTGTTCTCTCAATGAGTAGCTTTTCCCCTATCAAATAAAAACCACAAGCAAATTAAAGTCAGCTATGCCCCATTTTACGTAGTGTTTATGGAAACTTCCAGGTAATAGCAAACATAAATAAGAACTTGGAACCTTGCATGTAAATTGAAAATTTGGGGTAAGTATTCAACTATCCCCTCCTTTAAAGCAGTTTTCTCAACACTTAAGCTTTCTTTAAGTGGGGCATCCCAGCCATTCAAGCAACAACTAAAAGCACGGGTAGCCCTGTGAAGTGGGTGTGTGCAGGGATCTGCGGAGGCTGGGTCTGCCACCGTGTCCTCCAGCACAGACCCGGTCTTCTAGGGCACAGGCCAGGTGAATTATCCAGGAAAGAGCTGCAGACATGCCTCAGCATGTCTGTCTGGAGACATTTAAAGGACGGACAGTGCCATCTGTAAGCATGCTATCTTAGAAGTCTTGGTACAATTGCCACGAATCTCCCTAACAGGCTAACAGGTTAGGGAGATGCTATCATGCTTTTTTTTTTTTTTTTTTTAGACAGAGTCTTGCTCTGTCACCCTGGCTAGAGTGCAGTGGTGTCACCATAGGTCATACTCCTGGGCTTAAGAGATCCTGCTGCCTCGGCCTCCCAAGTATCTGGGACTACAAACGTGCTACCACCACACCTGGCTAATTTTCCTATTTTTTTTTTTTTTTATAGAGACGGGGGGTCTCTCTCTTGCTCAGGCTGGTCTCAAACTCCTGAGCTCAAGCGATCCCGCCCCCGCCTCGGCCTCCCAGGGTGCTAGGATTACTAGCGTGAGCTACTGTGCCTGGCCACTTCCATGCTTTTTAAAAGTAGCAAGAGGCCGGGCGCGGTGGCTCA